ACTTATAAATATGGTGAACCCTTTGTCAAACAAGGGTAACGAATTCGAACATCAATACTAGTAAAGTTAGAACGTTTCTTAGGAACATGTCGCAGCTAAATCTAGTATACATCCCGTGGTTTCGTCGCAAATAATATCACAAGCGTGGATTATAAAGCCAAATGCACGGAAGCATCAGCAAAGTGACGTAAATCCGCAGCTGATTTTCTAGGATATCTCAACAGCGATTTTACCCACTGTAGTCACGACTCACTGTCAAATCGAGCGATGTAAATTGAATCTCATTTCAAATATTTATACTTGTCTCGGACTAGCTCGGTGCATTTGCAAACTCTTTATATGAAATCAACACCGGTGGGAAAAGAAGACCTGGCTTTATTATCGATTCAAGTCGTGTTGTAGTCATTAGCGTTCGGGTAATAATAACATTAATTGCGCCAATTTACAAGTACTCTCTCCTCGGGGCTTTGCTGAAATGTACTACTTCACTCCATGACCTAGCTCGTTTGAAAGTGCAGCTCGTTTTACCGGATCGGGTCATTCATAGGTGGGTTAATTTGTCCACCGTCTAGAGCGAACGTTCAAATGTGAACTATCGCAAACCTAGCTAAAGCGGCCACAATCACCGTGGCGCGTTTTATTCGGTGTGGGTCCCGTACAACGTATACAACGCGTGTAATCGGACACGCTATGTACGACGATCTATGGGCGCCGTATTAACAAAATTATTTGGTAGGTTTACTATGTTTATTTCGACACACATTCTCAAACTTTCCGGGTCATTCAATGATGCCGAAGGACGACCTTCCAATGTAGCTAGCCATATCGTATTGGAAAGTATTCAATAATCATGCGATGTCAATATTTGGACTGAAAAGTATTAAATGTGGAAATCGTGAGACAATTAATTAAAATACATGTAGTTTGACAATCAGTTTTAAAAGATAAATTTGTTTTCTGCCAATAGTCAATAGCGACCAATACAATCTTTTCTGGTACGATTTATTTTACTATTTTCCACAACGACAATTCTATGTTCATCATATTTCAATATATTCAAAACTAAAAAGGATTCCATGTTTGTGAACTTACACATCGCGAACGATATCGAAATATCAGAAGATGTCTTTGTCTAATAAAGTAATGAAAGGTTCCAACACTGACAAAATTCCACCATGAAAACTGTATACCCCAATATCCACCAGAATTATATCATTTTAAGTATTTATATTGTTTAAGTAGACTTCCTTTTGCCTTGAAATGTACGTTTTCAACGTTTTGCCCTCTTTACACAAGCACCCTTAAAGGGCGGTGGTCGTCCCGAAGCGCGTGTTCGAATTCCATGTAAACAAACTGTATATTTTACACGCGTTGTATACGTCGCTATGGGTCCCATATCGAACAGGACGCGACGCGACGACCACCGTCCTTTAAACTTCTTCTGGCGCGTTGTTATGCCTGAAAATGTTCCTTCCTAAACATTGTTACGTCATACGCTGGCGTTGAGTCTAGTGTCTGGCCGGGGATCGTTTACAAGTTTTAGATGCGCGCTACTCTGTTCAATGTCGTCTGCTCACTGCAAGTTGTAAACTTTCACATTTAGACCGTGGCGAATACCGACACTTGCAATTCAGAATTTCCACTGAAAATTTAACAAGATTTCACGTAGATTTCCATTCTTCATTCCGAACGAGGATGAAGAAAAATGGCTAATCTGGTGATGTACTCGGACACGTGACACTCAAACAGGCATTCATTTGTATTAAAGAGCGTAGTTGTTGCGCCGCGCATGTGCGAGATATGAGTCTCATATAAACAAAGATGGCGATTTTTACTGTTGCGCACACCAAGACGCTACCAAGCTTCAATTAGCTATTTTTGTTGGTGTTTGGAAAGTATCGAAGGAGTCGCTGGCGGTAATTAGTGCAAGTGGCGCCAAGGACAAAACTCGCACTCGTGATTTAATTAGAAATTGGATTGGATTATGGAAAAATCAATGTTTATCAACACAAATATCGCGCATGCGTGGCGCGACGACTACTGTTGGGGTTGATGCAATACAACTATGGTTCGATCTAGGGTACGATATATTCACGTAATTACGGAATCATTATGACCGGCCATATCGACATGTCACAATATGCTAGACAAACATAATATACAAGCTATTTTAGATGTTATCATTGTGATCGTTTCAGTGACGTCACAATACGAACAGTTTTAATCCCAGCGTGTTGTGGCATGAAACAACATACTCACAATGAAAAAAATAACATCATAGCTCGGGAACAACAAGTGGTATGATTTTGTTGGAACCTACTATTTTGCCCCCAAAAACGTGAAAAAAATCAATATACCCCGTCGAGAAATGTAACATGTGGCCATTTGCTTTCAGGGAATATTTAGTATTCGATGGCAGAATATTACCCATTGTTGTCAGCGATTTCGTATCTCATTCATCGACATTCATCTTGTATTGGAACAGAGTTACTTTATGCAAGACGGGTGCTAATATCGGTGAAAGGTCAAAAGGTCAACACGGGTCATAGAGTGGATTTTCTGGGTACATATTTACAAAAATCATAAACATAAATGTTCCTAATTTTTACATACTTGAACAAAATATTGATCAGAACTTGGATGCCTAGTAATTATGTATATTTTGCCAAAAAACTACAAAAAAACACTGAATGTGCAAAAGGTTGCAGGGCAATTTTGCCGGGAAAGCGTCCAATCAAGTGTCAGTGTAGCATCCATTGTCTGTTTCATTAAACTAACCAGTATATGTTTGAGGTTATGAACAATCATATACAACGACAGTGATACTGGATCAAATACGAAAACCAGTGCACGGAATCACTCATAATTTCAATGAAAAATTGTTGCGTTCCCATGGAATGCTTAGCGGTTTAAAGGTCATTCGAATAAAATGTACACGTAACACGTACGCTCAACATGTATTTGTAGTTTTCTCCTTTTACCTGATGAGTAAATGATGTCTCATATTAACCTGGTTAGATTCAACTACCGATGTTTATTAGACACGACGTCTGTCGAGGTAACAATTACAAACCAAACATACGTCACGGTGAATAGAATAGATTAGTAACCCCGGGCACGAAGATTGGAGCAACACATGACGTAATGCATCTATTTTATCCCGACGAGTGTTTGTTTATTGTTTTTGATATAATGTAACGTTAGTTCACGTCCCAGCATTCTAAAGTATTCGTTTACATGACTTGTCTGAGCTGTTTTCACAGTATCAGTTTAACCTTATAATCTTTTAATAATACATAGGACCGTATTTTAGTAGCCAGTACAGATTTTGTTACGTTTCTCTCTCTCTCGACTGGTCAATTAACGGGAGCGTTTTTGTTCTCATCCACGTCTTTAAAATAAAACCAAATGTACCCCACTATAATGACAGAAGGGAATGCGCCTGATTTCAAAAACAAAACCGCAACGGAATATTTGTTACACAATAATTACCCATCGAAGTATATTTACTGGACCGGAACACACAGCTACTAGTGTCTATGCCAGTGACTAATGGGACACGTCCCTCATTGTGTAAGCGCGTTTTATATGAATAGGTCGTAAACTTAGGTCCGCGCCATTCCACTCCCCACTCAAATATACGGTCGCGGACGACGAAAGTAAGTGTGCCAAGTACCTAAAAGTTAGATTAAGAACAATAGAGTTCCTTCTTGTAAATTATAATGATCCTTTATTTCCAATCCCTACTGATGAAGTGAGTCAGAATGTGGGGGAGGGGGTGAAATGCATACCTTAGCCGCGGACTGAACCAAAGCGACTCTGTAACCACGCGTCTGCGCCCATATATGGTATGATAATGTCCATATTAGGTCATATACACCATGTATGGTCATGATGTGTCACAAGTTTTCACAATGGCCGTCTTCGTTATGCTAGTTGTTTACTGCATGTTTAGAAAAAAATGGAACAACCTACAGAAAGACGAATGCCTATATTTCACTCCATCATCTTAAGGGTGCGTATATCGATTTTCCCGCTGTGCTTGTTAAAAGCCAGATGGCAAATACTAACGTTTTCCCAAAGTCAAATTGTCGACTTTTGGAATCAATTTGTACTCGAGGGTAAATAGCAATAAAGTCACACGCTATAAACTGCTTTTAATAGTTTACTGTTGCGTTTCCCGCCAAAACAACGCGTTTACAATTCGCGAGTACTACAGAATAGTCGAGAATCGGCGAAGTGTTGTAATACAATCTTGAGCAACGTTTTGAAGCATTTCGCATTTGAGAAAAAAAGAGAACAACAAAAATGCATGGATCTATATATAATTAATATATTTTATCATTCCTCAGCGATATTCGCCAAAATCTTAATCCAATTTGTATTCCCTGTCGACTCAGATCGCATTTCAATTATAACAACGGTTCCATCCGATTCGTGTAGTATCGCATCGTATACACAATTCGCCAAATCCCGATGGCACCCGAGAGAGACGTCCTGCTCATTTAAGAGGAGAATTTATTGCAAACGCGTTTTGACGGTATCGTCGCTGTTATCTCCTGTATTATCGGACTTGACATTTTAACTTGGCGACTATTTGTCATTTCCCAGATTTAGGGCCGTCAGAATGAGACTCCATAATTGGTTCTACAGATGATGATGCGGAAAGCAAAGCCAAGTGCACAATATAAAAATATGGTAGCCATGAAGCATTTTAACTTAATTGTTGCTATCTGCAATACCCTGCTGGTATAATATCGAATATGGAGAACTCGGTGAACACGCACTCACCGATTTCTCCAGTCTTTCCCCGTTTCTGTGAGTAATAACATTTCAAACTGCAACAATGTTTTACCGTCAATTCACTGCGCAGCTTTTCAGTAGAACGTACTCAGTCGCTGCTGAGTGTATCTCATTGTGTGGAACGCATTGACCAAACAGTCACGAGCATTCACAGATACTAGCATGATTGACTAAATAATATACTTCATCGTACATACCTTGCCTACTGTTGGAGCAGCCCATTTCCACGTTTCCGTGTTCAATTCGTGCGTCGAAAAAAAACCCACCGCTACGATCTAGGTTGAGTAAAATCCATTACCTCGACTGCCGAGTGTGTGTAATTGTCTCCAAGTACAACTGTGGGTAGGCTGTCAACCACACCGAGGTGTTTACATTAATCGGAATGATTGTCGTAAACGCCGACTGAAATACAATACAGTTGTAGTATTGTCGACCCACAATGCCCAGATTTGGCCTCATTTGCATGACAATTGACGTTACCTCACGGAAACCTTGGTTACCGAGTGGAAGCGAAATTCAACCGCTGTCCCGGTAAATACATAAATAAACATCAACGGTAAAGCAGGCGGTGTCCTGTGGCATACACCACACCGACGCTTGCATGGACTAAAGCCAGTGTGCTGATGACTCTCCACTCAATGAGATCTCAGTACTGCCACTGATCGGAACAACTGATGATCGGGTGTCTGCTTCGGAGATGCTCGGAAATGTTACTGGTCGAGAAACGTTATAACGTCCCAAATTCAGCCCAGCGTGGCTGCGATAATTTCCCAGCCGTGTCTATGTTTAACGTTGTTTCTATTTGTGTCGTGTGTATATCGACTATAAAACCGGCGGACAAATCGATGATGCGTCCATCGGAAACAGCCTTATCGTCTTGAAATCGACATCTGGGTGAGCCCCCGAGAGAAAATCGCTTTTTTACGCAATCCGGCGTTATTGATTACTCTGACAGAAAGCCGGTAGATATCTACATGACTGGAATTTTATGGATAATACAGAATTAACCGGATATCAAATATAGGGAAACATCGCCAGTATTACCTATTAACAGATCATCTGTAATGGTTCGAAGTTATCCGAGCGAATACAACTCTAGTCGACGTATTCTA